TATGCCCACTAGAGTGTGCACATGGTGTCCGACATTTTAATGTTGGCAGATGAGGTAACGGTTATGAGGCAACGGTTCATGTGATGGCAATGGTTTACCGGTATCATGCTATGTTATGTTTATGTATATACCAGGATCATGATATTGCAATTATTTTCACTATTTACTTTAGTATGAGTTCCTACGTAGCACAATGGACTTTAGTGCTCACGCCCCATGTTATCTATGTTTTTCGGGTCACAAAGTCGGGCCAGAGGAGTGGGCTGATGGGCGGTTCAGGATTTTGTTTACATGTTTGAATTTGGCATAGCAGTGATGTTACTATCTCCCGTAGTGGAGTTTAAATGTTTTGCCACGCTACATTTTCCGTTGATGTTTCATGTTTGTCAAACTTATCCCTTCTGATCCGGTTACTAGTCGGATTGGTTATATTATGATAAACCGTTTTTCTTAAAAACTAAAATAACGGTTTTCCAGGTAAAGTTATCGTTATGGTAGCACTCCGAAACATGATTTCGCAAACTAATCAGTAATTTTATTAAAAGATTTTGCGAAAAATTAACTCTGATATTTATGACATAGCGGGGTGTTACACCTAGGCCTTGAAGTCCTAGGACTGGCTGGAGTTCACGAGCGCAAGGACGCCGGCAGGGACGGGGCGCGCGCGATGGCGCGCTAGTACGAAGCAAGTGCGGGTGACCCATGCCGCGCAAGACTAGGCATAGCGGAGGCGGCGGGCAGCGCATGCGAGGCAAGCGAGCGGGAGGCCGAGTCCTCCGAGGGCTAGGCAAGCGATGGGCGGCGCACGCGAAGGGAGGCGGTCGAGAGCTTAGGGCGGCGACTTGGAGTGCAAGCAAAGCAATGTGGAGATCAAGACTTGCTAGATACTTAGGAGTCTATTTCCTTGTTGGTTTTAATAATTCTTGTAGTATTAGGATTTTATTAGTAGAAGATGTTACGAGATTTACTTTCCTTAGGATTTATATTCTTGCATGGGTTAGGAGTTCTAGTCAATTTAGGATTAGATTTATTTTGCACCTATAAATACCTCATGTAATCTTCATTATTAAGTGTTTTGAATGTTTTGGAGTAATGGAAAATAGTTCGTAAGAGCAAACCGTGTGTCTAAATTTCGTGAGAGTTTTGTCATACAAATCGAGTGAGCGAGGCTAAGACCCAAGTGATCTCAAAATCGTGAGAAGATAAGGCTAGTAACCAAGTCGTCCACATCTATCGTTGAGAGCGAGCCGTGGCGAAGCTTTGTTCGAGGCAAACGAGTTGAACGGAACACACGATCCTTCATCAGCTGCTGGTTGCGCATGCTGCGAGGTGAGCTGCCGGGTGCACCATGCGCTGCCGGGCGCACCATGCGCTGCGCACTGGACGTGGGCGGACAGCGTGCTGCTGGCGCGACTGGCGTGCACTGCACGCACGGCCGCTGGCGGCATGCTACTGGGCGCTGCCGCACAGGCTACACACGACGCACTGCTGGGCGTGCGCGTGCTACCGCATGCTCACAAGCCACTGTCGGCTGGCGCTGCATCGCTACGTGCAGGCGGGCCCTATGGTCGGTACTTTGCCGGCCGTCCGGCAGCTTTTTCCACAAAGGCTACATGACTGAACATAACATGACATGAAATGACTAAAAATACATAAATTGCTCGAGAGTGTTCGGCCAGATTATGACATGGCTCGGAAAGGGCTTATATAGCACCTTCGAGTGCATTTTAGCATTAAACATGATCTAAACTATACTTTCTCAACATGATCTCTTTAACATGAACATGAAATGACTACAAGAAGGTTAAGATGAATATACCCCTCCAATCGCTCGACGAAAACGCTAGGACTTGCGTGTGCTCTTGCTTGTGGCTCGGTACATGTGCGTACCTCCCTTTGACAAAGGCTAAGTACAAGCTATTTTCTCTCAATATTTTTCTATGTTTTTTTTCTTGAATATTGCTATCTTTCTCTTGGCTTTGCATGGTAAATGCATGAAGAAAATGACTCACGGCTATAATTATTTACTTAAATTGAAAATGAAGGATGATGATGGAAAAATAGCATGAATTCTATGGTGCCACTTGCTAAAAACCGTGGCCTTGGTGGCATTTTAGCTTGCCTTGTCATCACTAGGTGGCGCCTCAAGGAGTGCTTAATCATTCCATGAAGGTTAGCATGATGCCATGTAGCAAGCTAGTAGGTGATTCATGAAAGCAAGTTGCAATATTTTATCCTCCAAGACTATCTTCTCACGGCAATTACTAAAGTATTTGGCATGGGTTAGTTTAACTTGATCATAGAACTTTACTAATGTAATATCCCGTTTGAATAAAGATTTTTTGAGATTAATTATTATTATTATTATTATTATTATTACTATTATTATTATTATTATTATTATTATTATTATTTATATAAATGTCTAATTTGCTTAATTGATTTTATGTGATTAATGTGTAATATTAATAAATATTATGTGTTTATATACATATTGTCCGGTTATTTTTAGTTGTTCATCGTTGTCTATCGAATCGAGCTTCAGTTAAGTTTTCGGCCCATATGGATTTAATTTTCCAGCCCTTTTAACCCCCAGCCCAATGTAATTTTTTTCAGCCCAAACTAGTTAAAACATTTGGGCCTTTATGATGATTTATTTTTGGCCCATGAGATTACGAACTTCCAGCCCAAGCGTGAGTTATCTCTTCATCTGCTCTCTTCTTCGACCAAGTCGTCGCGTTCAAAATGTTTGTGCGATTCTCTCGCAAGATCCTCCTTGCACATTCACGCACTAATCGCTTGCTCACCTCTTAATATATTGACGAGGAGTTCTAATATCAGAGTCATTCAAACCACACTCTCATATCTCTCTCTCCTTCTCGCATACCTGCAAAAAAAAAAAAAGAGGGGTATTTTTCGTTGCCGCAATCATCATCTGCGTCCAATCATCCCCATCAGCAGGTTGTCGTCAACATCACGCGACCAGACCTTCACCGTGACCTAGTAGTAGCGACCCTGTTCACGCAGCGACCTCCAGCAGAACCATCTTCTCCACCACGAGACGAAGCTCCACCGGCGAGCCTCCTCCGTCAACGTTCATTCTCAGCTTTCGGGACCCGTCGAGTTTCGTCAGAGTTCCGAACGTAGCCGTCGAGTCCCGTCAGAGCGCTCGTACGATCCGTTCAGTTCGTCCAGCCCCGTTTCAATCCGTTCGAGTGACCCCCATCTCGAGAACGGTACAAGGCTGTGAACCCTCTCGTTAATTGTTATTCAGGATGATAAAGTTCGTTTTCTTGCATTCACCTTGAATCGTTTCATTGGGTTTTGATTTCAGCTTATTTGTTGATTCGTATGTTGGTTATATATGTTTCGTATGTTTTGTGGATGCTCGGGAATGAATGGAACTCTCGATTTCGTTAAAGAAAATTGTTTTCCGTTGTTGTGACTATATCGTGTTAATTCGGAGTCCCGTTTTGTCGTTTCGGAGTCTCGTTGTAATTTATTTTGGGGTCGTCTTGTTGGTTTGTTTTAAAACCGTTAGGTGTCGTTTCCTATTCCGAGAAAACGGGGGTTTGTTTTCAAACCGTTAGGTGTCGTTTCCTATTCTGAGCAAACTCCATTTTCGTAAGGTTTTCGAAAACTGGAAAAGTTATCTTATTCTGGAAAAATTTCTGTGAAATTTCGCTGTTGAAATCTGTAGCATGAAGTTCTGTTCAATCTGCTAAGCCTTTCATATTCGCAGCTTTTGTTTCAGTTTTAGCAGGTTCTGTTCAAAAATTCATTTTATAAAGTTTGCAATTTAAGTCGCACTCAGCTCGTGTAGCGCAGTGGTTCCGCGTGCTATTCTGTATGCGAGGTCGCGTGTTCGAACCCCAATGTAATAACCCAACTTCTTGTTAATAAAATGATATGTTTTCTTGGTTCCGTTCATTTTCAGCAAATACGTTCGACGTTAAAGTCGAAAAGTTTATCCGTTTAATTATTAACCGAGTCAAATTCGATAATTAATTTCCGAACCGTTTATTTATAAACATACATTATTAATCGGGATTAATTATTCATAGTTTAGCATGTTCGAAATTAAGTTCAAGGTTGAAACTAAGCTAAGTTGCGAAAGAACGCAAGGTACACGAAGTATACACACGTACACGCACTCATGCACGCATGTCGTGCGCACAGCCACGCACGCGAACGTGCCCAGCGCGCATCGTCGCGCACAGCGCGTAGCGCGCGCATCATTAGGCCGCTAAGCACGCACTTAGGCGACGCTTAGCAACATCATTAGGCCAAATTCCCTCCCTAAGAATTTCATGAGGAAAAATACAAGGATAAAGGTTGGGTGTGCAAGTGGGGTGGTGAGTCACCTCCTTGCTTGCACACACGGCGAGCCACGAACGCACGGGCGATGACTAAGCCCGTGCATGGCCGCCACCTCGGCAATGACTAAGCAAAAATTGTTCAACATTCAGTCACGTTGTGACACTTGTTGTCACGAGAACTCATGACATCCATCACCTCCTTTAGCCTCAAATTTACCCACGGTTTTTACCATAATAAATAACCGAGCGTGGGCATCATCTCCATGCAATTCCGTGCATCAATTTCGACCAACTTCAGCAAATATTTGAGAGAGAAAACAGTGAGGAAATAATAGTAGAAAAATCACACAAAAATAGCTAAGTATTGCCGAAGCAAGGGAGAAGCATAAGGACATTAAAGGAGTACCGAAACCGCACGCAAGCCATCGTGCAATCCTCGACCGAACTGAAGGATATACCCCTATTTACCTTCTTTTTATATAGTTAAGTTCATAGTAGTAAGATCATGTCGATGTCATGTTGTTCGATCCAAGTTCTTTTAGCAAAATGGTCCTAGAGGTGCTATATAAGCCCTCCCGAGTGATTTCAAAATAGAACCGACAAGTCCCGAGTAATCTGTGTATTTTCAGTCATTTTAAGTCAAAACATGATCAGTCATATGTGGATTGCCAGAAAAAGTAGCCGGACGGCCGGCGAAATGCCGACCGTGATACCTACCGCGCACAGCGTGCGCGCAGGCACGCCCGGCAGGCCCAGCGAGTACGCAGGCAGCGTCCGCGCGCCTAGTAACGCGCACGCGTGCCTAGTACTCGGCAGACAAGCATCGCGATGCCACAGTTATGCGTGTAGACGAGCGCAGTGCACGCCAACGCGCACGGCAGCGCACATCTCTGCTCACCCGCGTATGTCGCAACGCGTCACATGCTCAGCAGCGTGTCCCGCGAAGCACGTACGCACGCCAGCAGCATACTACGCACGCTGGCCAGTCACCACGCACGCCAGCACGCTCAGCAGCGTGCCAGCGATGCACAGCAGGCCTCGGCGTTGCCCGGCAGCACGTCCGAGTGTCCCACCAGTCCAACACACGTAGCCCGCGTGCCAGTCATCTACCCACGGCGCCCAGCAGCACCCGGTAGTGCATGTGCGTGCCAGTACCATTGCCAGCGTGCACGATAGTGGCCAATTGAGCCCAGCAAGCATCCAGTCGCCACTGATCGTGCACAGCAGCACGCCAGTGACCGTCCCAGCGCACGCACGGTGCCAGCAGCACCTGCCAGCGCATGGGACTAAGTCAGCCAGCGCCCGCCAGCGCCAGCAAAGCTGGCAGCGCCCAACCCGCGCACAGTGTGCGCGAGTGACCGAGCCGGTGGTCAGCCAGCAGCCGACCGCCCGGCCGCAGTGAGCAGGCAGTCCGGCCAGAAAATGAACCGGCAGGTTTAGACCGGTTTTTGAGTTGTTCAGTATTTACTGATCCGGTTCGAGTCCAGTACAGTATTTCAGTTAATTTTTCAGTCCAGTCAGTCCAGTACACCGGTATCAATTCGGTCCGGTTTTTTCTTATCAGTCAAGTTAAGTCCGAGAATATTCTAGTTAAATATTTAGATCGAGCCGAGCATCTTAACAGTTATTTTCAGTCAGTCTGAGCGTAGTACTTAGTATTTGTTTATTTATATAATTTTTACAGAGTGATCAGCAGCAGCACTTAAATTATCAGTACAGGTGGGAACTCAGACTGGGTATTACATTATTTATAATTGCTCTATCATGTTTTAAGGTATGTATATCAGTTATTCCACTTTGGGTGGAGGCGCAGTATCCTTAATTGCCCATCCAGAGTTCTGGTGGAGGCGCAGTAGCCTTAATTGCCCATCAGAGTGTGCACATGGCCAGTTCAGTACAGACCTCGTGGCTGGAGTTATAGATTTCAGTTTATTTATATATACCTGCAGTCATGATATTGATATTATCATTAATGTTTACTTTAGTATGAGTTTCTGCGGAGTACAGTGTTTTAGTACTCACGATCCCACTATTATGACCTTTTCAAGTGACGGTGTCGGTCCGGAGGAGTGAGTGAAGCTGATGGTCGCCGGTCCAGTACATGTAAATATGTATCTATTTTTGCAGACTGTAGATATGTATATATTTGCCACATTTTACTTCCGCTGACGTTTTTAGACTTTCAAACTAGCGTGTAAATTTTCAGACTACGATCCGAGCTTCGGGCCTAGTTTTATACAGTATCACACGCTTGTTTTATAATGATAATCCGTTTTTCATAAATGGGTTTATGGTAAACGGATTTTTAGAAAAGAAATATTTTATGTAGCATCCCGATATATGTTTCGCAAAATAAAACGTAAACTTTAGAAAAGGATTTGCGAAAATCGCATTCTGATTTTAGTAAGCTAGCGGGGTGTTACAAATTGGTATCAGAGCACATTCTTGTGTATCTGAATACTTTTAAAGTCCTAAATTTTCAGAAAAGACCCGACCACGCTACGCTCACGCCTCGCCGACTACCAAGTAAGTGCTGAGTTACAGTTTATATATATTTAAACGAATACTTAAGTCTATGCTTAGTGAGAGGGTATCACATACTTGACCCTAGAAATCAGTAAGATGCTCGAGTATGTTTTGAACTTAGTCGATTGCCCCAGTTATTTGATTGTTCGACTTTAGTATTCTCGGGTTATATAGCGACTCGTCAAGAGATCTGTGTATTTAAGTAATCAGTCGGTTAATTTCTTATGTTGTTATTTAATCATGTTAAATATTTTAATGTTCAGATGCCTCCTCGTAGAGAGCCAGATCACCAGGAACGCCCACAGGCCACAGTGGTCGCTTTGTTTCGCGACTACCATCCAGAAAAGTTTTCCGGCCAAGGAGATCCTCGTGTAGTAGATGAATGGGTTCAGGGTCTCGAGATTATTTTCGAGGTCATGAACTGCCCCAATCGTTATCGCATGTTATGTGCCCAGATCAAGCTGACCGGTGATGCCAGACTTTTGTGGCAAGCCTATTGGAGTATGCATCCCGGTGAAAAAGACGGTTGTATGTGGGACCAGTTAAAGGAGCTGATCCGAGAAAAGTATTATCCCTCGTATTACCGAGCAGACATGGAGCGCCAGTTCTTGGCACTCACTCAGGGTACTCGTACTGTCGACGAGTACGAAAGAGAGTTCACCCGTCTCGGAGCCTTTGTACCTGATCTTGTGAGTACGGAGGCGAAGAGAGCCCACCGTTTCACTGACGGACTACGCCCAGCAGTCCGCCACAACATCGTAGGCCACGACGTCCAGACCTACGCCCGCGCAGTTGCCATTGCACAAGAAGTTGATGCTAGTATCCGACGAGAAGCCACCCAGACACCAGCCCAGCCAGTTCAGCCACCAGCCCAGCCCAAAGTAGCCCAACCATCAACAAACCAGAAGAAGAGGAAGCTCAGAGGGGGCTCAGACAACCGGAGGACCCGTCCCAGACAATATCCAGAATGCCCAACCTGCGGGAAACACCACCGTGGAGAATGCCTCGTGGGCCAGAATGTTTGCTTCTTTTGCCGCCAGCCAGGTCACTTCAGCAACAACTGTCCAGAACGACTACAACAACAACTGCAACAACGTCAACCGCCACAGCAACCTCAACAACAGCAACTTCAACAACAGCAGCCCAGGCAGCAACCACCACGACCACAGCAACAGCAACGCGGCAGACAGCAGGCTCGCGTTTTTGCAGTTGACCAGAGGGAGGCCGACCAGCACCCAGGTACCATGTCCGGGATGATTATTCTTAATGATGTGCCTGTCTATGCCTTATTTGATACTGGAGCGACCCATTCTTTTATATCACGTCGATGTCTCGAAGCTATCGGGGTTCGTTCCACTACCGCTGTCGATCCTCTCGAGGTGAGTTTAGCCTCGGGAAGAAAGATAGTGACTGACGCTAGAGCCACCGATCTCAGCCTTTCCATCGGCGGCCGTATTTTGATTACTGATACTTATGTTATTGAGATGAGGGATTTTAACCTCATACTCGGTATGGATTGGCTAACTCGATTTCACGCAGATATTCGATGTTACGACCGGGAGATTACTCTTTATCTTCCGGGAGATGATCAGATCACTTATTACGGCTCCAGGACTCGTACTCTACCACATGTTATTTCTATGGCAAAAGCCAGAAAGATTCTTCGATGGGGTAATTGCCAGGGTTATCTTGTAAGCCTCGTTGGAGATGAGTCAAAGGCACGTTCACCTCATGATATTCCTATCGTTCGTGAGTTCATGGACGTGTTTCCAGACCAGCTTCCTGGAGGTCCACCTAGCCGACAGGTGGAATTTTCTATTGATCTTATTCCTGGAGCCGGACTCATTTCAAAGGCACCGTACAGAATGGCGCCTAAAGAGTTGCAGGAATTAAAGACCCAAATCCAAGAGTTGCTGAATCTCGGTTTTATACGACCGAGCGTTTCTCCTTGGGGAGAACCAGTCCTTTTTGTCAAGAAGAAGGACAGATCCATGCGTATGAGTATCGACTACCAGGATCTTAACCGGTTGACGATCAAAAATAAATATTCGCTTCCCAGGATTGATGATTTATTTGATCAGTTGAGGGGTGCATGCGTGTTTTCCAAGATTGATTTGCGTTCAGGCTACCATCAGCTGAAAATCAAGGAGTCAGACATACCCAAGACAGCTTTTTGTACGAGATACGGTCACTTCGAGTTTGTGGTTATGTCGTTTGGCCTCAGTAATGCCCCGGCAGTATTCATGGACTTGACGAACCGTGTATTTCATCCTTTTCTCGACCAGTTCGTTATTGTCTTCATCGATGATATTCTTATTTATTCCAAGAGCTAGAAGGAGCACGAGGATCACCTGAAGGCCGTTCTTTCGACCCTTAAATGCGAGAAGTTATATGCAAAATTCTCCAAGTGCGAATTTTGGCTTCAGCGAGTGGCTTTTCTTGGCCACATTATTACTTCAGCAGGTATTGAAGTTGATCCTTCCAAAATTGCTGCAGTCCAGAATTGGTCAGTACCAAAGAATCCGTCCGAGGTTCATAGTTTCCTCGGCCTTGCAGGTTATTATCGTCGATTTATCGAGGGGTTCTTGAGGATTGCACTCCCTTTGTCTCAGCTGACGAGGAAGTCTGTAAAGTTCGAGTGGACAGACCATTGTGAGTCGAGTTTTCAGGAGCTGAAAAGGAGACTAACGACGGCACCGGTGTTGACTATTCCAGATCCTTCTCGGAGCTTCACCATCTATAGTGATGCTTCGAGGCAGGGTTTGGGATGTGTACTTATGCAAGATGGCGAGGTCGTTGCTTATGCATCACGCCAGCTTAAAACACATGAACAGAACTATCCGACCCACGACTTGGAGTTAGATACAGTTGTTCATGCCCTCAAGATTTGGCGACACTATCTATACGGCGGTCAATGCGAAATCTTTACTGATCATAAGGGCTTTCAGTATATCTTTACTCAGAAGGAGATCAATATGAGGCAGCGCCGTTGGTTAGAACTCGTCAAGGATTACGATTGGACGATCCAGTACCATCCGGGAAAGGCAAATGTTGTTGCTGATGCCCTAAGCCGCAAGGTGAAAGGCGACTTGACATACGTTGTTACCCAGCAGAGCCAGTTGATTCAGGAGTTCGCCCGGATGCGGATTCAGGTGATTGATGCAGTTCCTACTGCCAGTACGGGGAGTGTGAATTCCATGCAGGTTCAGCCGACGCTGAGGGAGAGAATCCGGCAAGAGTAGGCTTCAGATGAGTTTATTCGTACATTGATGCCAAGGTTCGTGCCGGAGGCGTTGAGGGTTTTCACCGAGGCACTGATGGGGCCTTGGAGTTTCGTGGCAGGATTGTGGTGCCTAAAGTCGAAGCATTGAGAAAGGAAATTCTATCTGAGGCTCATACCGCACCCTATCTAGCCCATCCAGGAAGTACAAAGATGTACCATGACCTGAAAGGGTCATTTTGGTGGAAAGGATTGTAGAAAGACGTTGCCGATTTTGTAAGAAGATGTTTAACCTGTCAGCAAGTCAAGGCCGAGCATAAGAGTCCCATAGGCCTTCTACGACCACTGCCGATTCCGAGGTGGAAGTGGGAGGAGATTGCGATGGATTTTATCACGGGGTTACCGAGGTCATCTGAACATCACGACGCTATCTGGGTTGGGGTGGACAGATTGACTAAGGTTGCTCACTTCTTGCCAGTATCAATGAGTATGTCTTTGGATCGGTTGGCTGAGATTTATGTCCGTGGGATCGTTCGACTCCATGGAGTACCTGTTACTGTCGTGTCAGACAGAGACCCCAGATTCACCAGTAGATTCTGGAAGAGTTTACACGAGGCAATGGGTACGAAGCTAGCTTTTAGTTCAGCCTACCATCCCGAGACTGACGGACAGACGGAACGGACTATACAGACATTAAAGGATATGTTACGCACTTTGACTGTTGACAGGGGTGCTAAATGGGAGTCGATGTTGCCGTACGTTGAGTTTACATACAACAACAGTTATCATTCTTCTATTCAGATGGCTCCTTATGAGGCACTATACGGTCGTAAATATTGTTCCCCTCTTTATTGGGACGACGTCGGAGAACGTCGAGTACTCGATCCGAAGCTGATCGAGGAGACAGCCGAGCACGTCGAATTGATTCGGCAGAGACTCAGGACAACTCATAGCAGAATGAAATCAACCGCCGATCATCATCGACGAGATATTCAGTTCGAGGTTGGCGAGCACGCTTTTCTCAGAGTTAGTCCATTTCGCGGAGTTATTCGATTTGGGAAGAGAGGGAAGTTGCACCCTCGGTTCATTGGCCCGTTCGAAGTACTCGAGCGAGTGGGCGATGTTGCGTATCGTTTAGCCTTACCTCCCGAGCTATCCAGTGTTCACAATGTCTTTCATGTATCTATGTTACGCAAGTACGTGTGTGACCCCGATCATGTCATTCCTCATACTGATATTGAGATTCATCCATACTTATCTTACGAGGAGCGACCGGTAGCTGTGTTGGACCGACAGGTTCGACGGCTCCGGAAGCATGATGTTCTCCTCGTACGTATTCAGTGGGATCGCCACGGAGCCACTTGGGAGCAGGAGGCTGACATTCGCGCTCGTTTTCCCGACTTTCAGTTTTGATATGTATATTTTCATGTATATATGTTTTGTTTTATATTTCCGAGGACGGAAATATTTTAAGGAAGGTAGTTTGTAATAATCCAACTTCTTGTTAATAAAATGATATGTTTTCTTGGTTCCGTTCATTTTCAGCAAATACGTTCGACGTTAAAGTCAAAAAGTTTATCCGGTTAATTATTAACCGAGTCAAATTCGATAATTAATTTCCGAACCGTTTATTTATAAACGGACATTATTAATCGGGATTAATTATTCATAGTTTAGCATGTTCAGAATTAAGTTCAAGGTTGAAACTAAGCTAAGTTGCGAAAGAACGCAAGGTACACGAAGTATACACACGTACACGCACTCATGCACGCATGTCGTGCGCACAACCACGCACGCGAACGCGCGCAGCGCGTATCGTCGCGCACAGCGCGTAGGCGCGCGCATCATTAGGCCGCTAAGAACGCACTTAGGCGACGTTTAGCAACATCATTAGGCCAAATTCCCTCCCTAAGAATTTCATGAGGAAAAATACAAGGATAAAGGTTGGGTGTGCAAGTGGGGTGGTGAGTCACCTCCTTGCTTGCACGCACGGCGAGCCACGAACACACGGGCGATGACTAAGCCCGTGCATGGCCGCCACCTCGGCAATGACTAAGCAAAAATTGTTCAACATTCAGCCACGTTGTGACACTTGTTGTCACGAGAACTCATGTCATCCATCACCTCCATTGACCTCAAATTTACCCACGGTTTTTACCATAATAAATAACCGAGCGTGTGCATCATCTCCATGCAATTCCATGCATCAATTTCGACCAACTTCAGCAAATATTTGAGAGAGAAAACAATGAGGAAATAATAGTGGAAAAATCACACAAAAATAGCTAAGTATTGTCGAAGCAAGGGAGAAGCATAAGGACATTAAAGGAGTACCGAAACCGCACGCAAGCCATCGTGCAATCCTCGACCGAACTGAAGGGTATACCCCTATTTACCTTATTTTTATATAGTTAAGTTCATAGTAGTAAGATCATGTCGATGTCATGTTGTTCGGTC